GATGGTAGAGTGGGGTGGAGTTGTTTGTGAGGGCATAATTTCGGCATGTGGGGTCCCTCCGTGTCCACAATCCACGACGGGGAGGCGGGACGAAGGGCGGTGGCGCAACGGATGCACGTCCGCGTTGCCCGCGACCCTTCGCCTTTCGTCTCGCCCGCCTCGATGACCCTGCTGCCGTCCACCCCACGTGACACGTGTTTATAAGGACGCGGGCGTTCTGTGCAAATGCACGACAACACTCTCTCTCTCTCTACCTCAAGCAGTCCCCGCCGCCCGCCGCGCTTGTTCTGCTTTTGGTCGCAGGCGTCTGTGCCACTCGAGACGCCTTCATAGCCTGCATCCGCGCCATCTTCGCCATCGTCGCCCTCGAGCCTTTTTGTTCAACATCGTCGTCGTCATCGCCATCGTCGCCACGTCCGTCGCCAACGTACTTATCTTCACTGCTTGCGTCTTCTTTGCAGTCGTCTTCGGCGACATTCTCCTCGGCGAGCAAGTCTTTTCGCCCGTCGTCTTCACCGCCACCGTCGCCTTTCCGTAGATCCTCGCCCTCGTCGTCCAGCTTGTCATCGTCACCGCGGGTGAGTCTTGCGCTATGTCCTCATGCGCTTCCGCACGCGGCAAGGCCGCCGCCAACCTCTCACAACAACCGCCGACCCGGGAGAAGAAGGGCCGCCACATGGCCAGCAAGAAGAGGAAGATCCTCGAAGGCACCCCGACACATGGAGGTTAAGTGCTGGATGAAGAGTGGGTGTCGGAGGACGTGGCGACGCAGGAGGGGACGGATTTCGAAGACTCTGACGACATGCCGTTGAAGCGGAAGTCGTCCAGGCGGGGGAGTGGCGGCATCCGCATAGACGACGCTGGCGAAAGACGACGAGCAGGAGGGAGGCCAGCACTGGAAGACGTCGTCCACGTTAACGCCGCGATGGCAGCCAGAGAGGGCGGGGGAAATCGCGCGCGCCACTGCCACGTACGACTCCACCAACCGACGCGCAAGAGGGCGTGGTTCGCTAACGGACACCGCTGACACCACGCTCGAGGACGGCTGCAGACGTGGCCTTGTCGGGCGGGCCATCACAGGCGGAGGGAGGGGTGAGGGCAGGCGGGGCAGCGGG